GTTCATTTTCGTTAAAAATATACCAAAATGTGTGTAGCCTCCCACGAGGACGTTCTTAGGGCCTAGTCACGCGTTCCTGCTCCCCTTTGGAGAGGATTGCGTGAAGAGCCAAAAGAACGTCTGCGGGGAAGGCTAAAAACGTATGCTGCACGTGCAGAGTTGTCGTTTTCTCTTACTAAAGCCCCGTGAAATCGCATTTATTTTACACGAATCGTCCTTCCGTTCACATGAAACCAGTGAATTCGCTCATTTATCGGCGACGTACTCGTTGCCGTCCCCCTCACCGTCGGACTAGGTTCGTAACTTAAGCAACGGCGACGGCGACGCCAACGACAACTTCCAAAAAAGGCAACTACGATGCACTGAACAATCCACATTACCTTTCCTTGCCAGTCTAACTGCGCATTCTCCTGGGCGTACATTGTTGGTATCACCAGGAGGTCCAATACACATTGTGATGGCAGTTGGTTTCCCTGTGGCCCTCATCACCTCCACTACCCACTCGGCTTCTTCCACAAACTCAAAATACTGTAGGGGAGGGGAGTACGTAGTGTTAGGTCATTTATAAGTGGAGAGGAGTACGAAGTGTTTGGTTATTTATAATTTAACATGAAAATTTTGCTGGAAGTTACATGTATCATTTCTCACATTCGATAATTTGGAATGTTAACCACAGGAAGCCCAAGCTCCAAATATGGGTATGGAGAGAAAACCGGTTAAAGTAATACCCATAAAACGGCCCTAAATCGACCCGTGGACCACACAGGAGAGACGTAAAAACATACATTTTAAGTAAGGTAAGCTTTTTTTTTTAATGAAACCCTTTCATTTTCAGTTAGGTTACAGAAACGATAGGTTTTTTCCCATACAAATCCTTATATTTCTGAGGTTAGACAACAATGCGGATGCTTATATTTCGAGCTTGGGCTACCTGTGTGTTAACTTACACGCATTCAATACATGGTATACATGCATGGTGGAAAAGGGTTGTAAAATCAAAGATGGCAGTTACAGACAGGAAATACTGAGCATTATGGCTGTTTACACAATATTTACCTCAGCGATGAGTAAGTCGACATCGTTTTGAAGGAAAATTTCAATCTGTTCTCTAAACCTCTCCTTAACAACCTTTTGTCCTGCTCCACTTGAATACAGTGAAGCAGTCTGACAGATTGATCCAGCAAAAAGTGCACCTCCCTCTTGGGCCACGCCCTTGGCCAGGTCACATGCTGCCTGGTTTATTTTAGTGGTCTGAAACAAAATTTTTAAAAAAGTAGGTCAAATGCTTTTTATTCTGATCCTTGAAATCGTACAAAAAAGATGAATTTTGCATTTCTTTGGGAAAAATTTTAAAACAGTGTTGTACAAAAGAACCTATCTGATCAAATGTGGATGTTTAGTATTCATGATCTGTGTGTTTTGGGGGGCGCAGTAACACAGAATAGCTATTAAAACAAAGTAATAAAATAATACCAACCCCATGTTTAGCATGTTCACCCCCCAGATCATCATCCATAGTAAATGTAAATGCTTGAATAACATCAGATCCTGCTCGCAAAAATTCCCGATGTAGCT